CTCGTCTTTAGCTATGTTGGACAAAAATTTGGTAGTGGTAGTTGAATCGGAGGATTAAAAATCGGACGATTAACTAAGAAACACCAGACTAGTTCCTGAGGTCATTTCAGGATCTGCTCTGTTCAAAAACTTGCTAAATTTTATGTTATACTATTTTCAGTAGTATTTATTAGAATTTTTCTCGGCTTCTCTTCAATCTTGATGAGTATAGGCGGCGCTAATATGCAAAAGATAAGAAAATTTTCGGGTTTTTTAAGTTCTTTCGCTTTTGAATTGATGTTATTCGTAGATAAAGATTCCTGTAGAAGTCGTTTTAACCTTTTCTAAGTTAAACATTTTTTCTCTGACTAGAAAGAACCAGTTCGAGGTCTTGACCACGCCATTAATCACAGATGTAGGAAACTAAATATTTTGAAGGTCTGTGAATACTATGGGCGGGCTGAGCTAGTCGACATTATGTGGTGCACCCAAAACGAATTAAAAATATTCTTAAAATCGAACAACAGATCAAAAATACTTAAGTTTCACGGTTTCTCTATGGTAGATATACTCAGCGGAATGCGTCGCAGCCTCAGTGAAAAAATGTGTCGCAAGTTGCTCCCAGTGTCGCAGATGATTATGTCCCAATTTGCGACACATTATTGTTTAGTGTGCATGGTGTGGAAGTTAATATTGGTCAATCACTGAATTCATATACTTTGTATTTATCCCATGTAATCAATGATACAACTACAATTTCTATACCATTCACAAGCGTTCCACAACACATCAAAACATAAAACATAGCTACATATTGTAGGGTCATTAAATAATTTTCTTACACTGACTACCCTCCACCATCGACTAGATCTAAACAACCTGAAATTCAGCCTTTCACCTGGTGACTGACGACGGGTTTACTCAACGCTAATCAAACGTGCACAAAAAGTTCAAAAGGAGTTCTTCGAATTGTTTAATTTTTTGATACTAGTAGAAGAAATCATAAGAATTTTTAACAAAAACATTTTAATGTTTAACTCACATCCGACGATTGTTAGCAAACCACATAATAAAGGCTTTTGTAATAATCGAATAAAGCAATAGCATATCAGCAGATAACAAACCCAGACACAACTGATTAACGATATCATTTATTTTTCAACTAATACTATAATACAGTAAGTTCAAAGGACAAGACTAAACAAAATAAAACTCAGATTTCTCCGAAATCTGAAGAGGGATACTTTGATTCTGATTACTTTAATAGTGCACACACATACAGTCGGTCCAGTAAAGCTTTCGAGCTGTGGCTTGCCTAGTCATACAAGAGTTTTCACGCAAGATGAAAGTGCGATTCCATCACCCTCTGTTCTATTATGAAAAAAGGTCAACAAAGAGCAGATTAAATGGTCCAGTATATATCTGTAATATAATGACTTGTCATTTACAGAACAGACAACAAAATTATTTGACATGCTTTTTCTAGTCAAGATTTTCGTCTTCTTCTGTCCTGTACTTACAGTTAATAAAAGGGTATCTCTTTTCACTCGCTTTATTCAAACTTTTTTTGCTGTAGTAACAACAGTAAAAAGTTATTTATTTTAGCAAGTGCGTCAAATCCGATAGATGTATACACATATGCGAAAGAGGATAACACGACAAATGAGCCTCCCTATATATGAGCTCTTGACATTTGAGCCCCCAATAATTCAGCCTCTCGCCTAGTGAGCCTTCAAGATTTGAGTCTAACGAAAGGAGCAACATCAAAAATATAAAATTCATTAACAAAAAGTAGTAATTAACTATTAGAGTTGTTCGTCCATTTGTTCATATACAGCACGTTTTGTCAGTTTCACAAGTGCTGCTTCTAATTTCTCTGGGTTTATAAGGTCTACATGTACTTTTAAATTAGTTAGAAAGCAAAATAAAATTTTGCTTTGAAAATGGATGTATTATATGAAGGAATTTCCAATAGAGGTCTGCGAGACAGTCTCAGCCCCGGTCCCATCGCGGCCCCGCATGACTTTTTACGGAACCGGGACCCAGAAAAATCTTTTTTACGGGACCGGGACCTAGAGGTCTGCGGGACTGTCCCGGTCCCTTCGAACTTTTAATAGGACCACGATCAGATGTTTTTGAAAATAGCCTTGTATGAAGTTAAAAAATTTCTTTGAAAAAATATTTACGAGACCACGGGATCGGGACCAAAAATGAGTTCTTTCCACGGGTTCTTTCACCAAAACGTTTGGTCCCGCAGACCTCTAATTTCCAATCATCAAACACTCCTTCTTCAATCACCATACTTTTGTTCAGATGAGAAATTCTTTCGTCTCAGCACATGGAATATGTTCAGTTATGTTCTCACGTCTAAATAAGGTTTCTAAACATTTTGATGCATAGTTTCTGTATCGTGATGAAAAACCACTACATTCATTTATTAAATGTCTGAAATTGCAATTTTCGGTTAAGAAATATTAGCATTTATTTATAAAGTTTTTATCTTTATTTTAGAAATGTTTTCTTTCTGACAAATCTTTTGAAAAGTATTATCAGATTATAGCGTACGTATGTCTGTGTTGTTTAATCGTATCGAACTACGTCATATAATGTTATCATGTTCTTTGAATAAGATCCATCCGTTGCGAGCTCACCTGTGGGAGGCTCAATTGCCGAAGGCTCACGTGTTTAAAGGCTCTAGTATTCGGAGCGCAAATGGCAAGTTTTTTCTGGTCATTTTCATTTTGGTTCATATTTTTCTTTAAAAACGGTACAAAAATTACCAGAAACACTCACAGGTGTCTCATTCGTGCCTCCGATACAATTAATAGTAATGAAATATGATGTGTTAAACAGAGAAAAGCGTATCGCAAACGTAGTTGCGGTGTAGTCAGTGGACTATTAGCTGTACGACGAGCTGTTCCGGTGGATGAATCATACGGAAAATATTGAATTCAAAAATTAACTGAATAAGAAATAAATAAATTTTTATGTTAATCAATATACCTTGATGTTTACAAGCTGGGATACTTTCCAATACACCACACGAAAGGACATGAAAAACTGAACAAGACTCGCTAGTTGACGGACTTTGAAAAAGATTTCAAGTAGATTTCTAGGAGGTTTTTGAAGAACCCCTATGAAAATTTTCATTTTTTCGCCGGATTTAAGCCATAAATCTAAATTTTGAACTGCTCTGTACGATAAAGCTAGAAAAACCGAACAAGACAGGCCAGTCGGCTGTATAGAGAGACACATGTTTAACATACATGCAGGTAAACGCGAAACAAGAGCGTGACTCAGTCAGCTAGTGGGCAGACAACGTACTTCAAACATACGGAGTTCGAATCTTGGCAACGGCAGTCGCGTGATAGTCTTGGAACAAACTATCCTATGCTCATTGTTTCGGTACCTTTAGACACAGATGCAATGGGGTAACTCGATTTCAGCGCCCTTTGGACTGGCGAGATGAGATTTAAAGTTTAAAAAGAACAAAAAAAGAAACAAGATTTTGTGTAATTTTTATTTTATTAAAAGTAACTAATAAGTATTTTATCTTATTTTTTTGGTGGTCAGTCTTGTTTAGTTTTTCACACTCTTTCGAATGGTGTATTGGGAAAAATATTTCATTACCTTTCGGAATTTCAGTATTTTAAATTTAAAAAAAGGTTCAGATTATAAAATTTAAAGCTTGAATTAAAATTGAAATATTAGCACTGGAAGGCAGTTTTTTTCTTCAAACTGTAGGTGGTACAGTTTTGCATTGAATGGTGTACTTGAAATTCATTTTAAGAGAACGTATTTCTCAAGAAAAATTATTTAATAGAACACCTATGTCAAGGACTACTGTTCTCTAGAAACCTAGATCGGAAGGACATCTTAACTTTATAACAGAAAAATGTGAGATAAATATATATTTGTAATAAGGATGCTTTTGTCCTCTTTCTCCAGGACAAAGAGAGCAGAGATTTATACAGAGTTTTTATACAGAAGTTGTATACTCTTTTGTTGAAATTTGCGACACTTAAGAAGAGTGCTTTACATTATTAAGAACTTTTTTCTCTTACTGTCAGTAGTTGATACATCACGAAAAACTGGTGTTAGCACATGGGCAAGAAAGGGCATGTAAGTGTACATTTAAAACCGGTAAAATGCGAGACTGAAAAGTAATATGTACTATATTATTACTTTAAATCATTGTTGGGTATTAAAATGATTAGGACATCTAATATTTAAGATACTCTTATGACTAACTTAAAGTAATGTATAAATGTATCATGTCAAACAGTGTCACTTCTGAATACGCAATTAAACAAATCGCCTTGATCTTCTCCTACAAATGCTGATCAAGCGAATGAAGTTCAAAAACTGCACAAACAATTATTGCATGAAATAAGTCATGTAGAAAAGCTGAAATTCCGTATGGGAATAATTGCACCAATGAAGGCTGATAAGTCAACAATTGTAAGTCAACTTAAACGCACTAATTGGGGATTTTATTTTGCGATGACAACATCTCAACAGAAGTTATTTTTAAACGTAATGTATTGGTACCAGTATTACTATTACACAAAAGTTGTATAGAGATAATATCCAAACTTCAGCATGATATTGATCGACATATTATGAATAATTATAAACGTTTTTAGTAGTATTGCTCGTCTAGTAGACACGACTAACAAGATTCAACAATAGTAAATAAGATACAAAAAGTGAAATTAAAGAACAAGCAAAAACTACAAACGGCAATGAATTACGTTTTGGTCAGAAATGATTATGAGGAATTGCAAATTCCTACTGTATTTTTCATGTTTATATAGTTCAGTCTACGTTTTTCTGTTAGATAATTGTTATCGACAAACAAGTTTCGAATAGAAAAGGGAAGTATAGCCGAGAACAATACTTCTTCTAACTATTAGGCCAGACGTGGTGTTTTTTCTTTAAGAAAGGTAACGAACGTATTTGTGAATACTGAAAGCAAAAAGAAGAATCGTCATACAACAATGATGCCGCTGTCATAGCTATTACAGACCTTTTTCTTTCAATCCCTTTCCAAAGTTCTTGGCGCACAACCCACCGAAAACTAATGCTAACAAGTGTGTCACTAAGTTTATACCAACACACACATAGAGTACACTCAATAATGGTACTAAGTTGGCTGATGACGGTTTTTCCGGACGTTTTGAATCGGTAATTGCCACATAAATAATATATCCAATATGAGCTGGTTGTAGCAGGGATAAGACATAAAAGACACCAACTAATACTCTATTTTCTAATTGTACCTATCATACACAGACACACATATTTAGATTCAAAATAAGATGAAACTATGTTCATACCATCAGTACGGCAATGCACAACCAAATAAACACTAAGGGTACGCCAACACCCAAGAAAATTTTGTCCAATGTTTGATATTCATTTATATTTCTCAAATTTAATATTAATGTTGATATCTAAAGTACACAGACATTTTTCGTTCACCTTTTGTCAAAATATACACACGAAGGGTACGTGCAGTTAACATTGTATCAATACGAATAATGCAGGCAAATGAATAGTATATTGTCAAAGGTCGTCTGCCAGCTGGAAATGCACCAAACAATCTATAAGTGAAAGCGAGCTTAATACAAAATGATCCATGAAAGCGAAGGATATGAGACAAACCGTTTTGAGAATTCATTTCGACTATAATCTCGAATAACGACCACAGATAATGGAAAGAAACAAATATTGAAAAAGATCGTAAATATAAGACGAATCTAGATTCAAAATTAACCATTGTAGAAGAGACAGAGGGTTCTAACGACAATATACCAGACGCAGATTGTATTGATCTTTGTTTGATGCAACAGTTGAAGATGAGATAAAGGAATATGACGTAGCAGTAAACATCGATGTTTCAGACCAATTTGCCACTGTTGTTTGTGGGCTACTCCAGGATGTTGATGAGGCAGGTGGTAGACTTGTTTTTTGACGTGTGAAAAAGTGTATAACAACATAGGCTGTTAACAATAACGCACACAGTAAAAATGTCAATATATCAATGATACGTTGACAAAATATTCCAGTGAATAAAAATATTAACAGAAATACTAAATGAATATTAAACATATAAAGGAAGGAGACAAGTCTGATGAGGGCATATTTACATGAATGTACAATTAATAGTATCCCATATGCAAAATCATTATCATCTTGCTTTGCACTCAATAAACGTACAATTGTTAATACATCACTTATGATTACAGCCAATATACTGATTGTTAGGAATAAATATTCGTACCATCGAATATTCTTCCAACCACGACGCTAAAATGCACACGCTCGAACATCAGTGTATAACAGATCATCGAAGATATCACGTTGTCAGAGAGTAGACATACCCTTCCAAAACAACCTGTTTCAAGTTCAGAACTAGATGGTAAGTTAGCAAACATTGGCGGTCGCATATTCTATCGAAGAAAAAAAGGAAAGATTTCTCTTAGCAAACATATTTGCACACTTTTTCGTTTAAAATGAAACGTGAAAGCACAATGTCAAATTCTGCATAGAAACAAGAAAATCGAATACTTCCAGATGTTATTTTTCACACATACCTCCATTTGACTCTGAGCTTCAAAGATAGAAACACTAAATTTTACAACCAAGAGATCAACGATGGTAGTCAATGAAGAAGAGTTTTGATAACAATAACAAGCACGTTCTTTGCTCTCTCAAAGATGATGATGAAAGTAAGAAGGAGGAGGTGAATTGGCGTTTATATGTTTTCATTTCTTATCTTCTATCTCAAATAATAGTAAAAGTACAACAATAACGATACTAAAGATGATGTTTAAATTACTACTTATTATCAGGATATAATACTACTTAGTGCCTCCGATCCTATTCACTATGCATTGCAGGCTCTTTTGTAAAGAATTCGTCTTAATTAATCCTTGTCGAAACAAAGGACGGGGATCGATAACAGGCAAAATCGGCCACCTCTCAGACCAAGCTCATATTCACAAGTCTGATGTAGTTTTTCTCCGTGATTAAAACTAGCATCTCAAAAATAGCATTTTCAGCCCCCCTGGAAAAAATTCCGCATCCAAACTTTTCTCCCCTTAAATGAACTTTATTTAGAATATTTTCCCCATTTCTTCTCGCTGTCCAAAGCAAACATCAACTACTGTACATCATTCGACAGAAAATTTTGCGGGCTACAAAATGATATATATAAAATTGAGAACAAATGGGGCGTGGGTGTCCTAACACTAGAAATACTAGCGCCAACCTTCGCAAAATCATAGGTCCACAGCGTTCATCGTTTATATTGTCCAGTGAGTTTATCGTTAACCACGCCACTTTATATATCATTCGAGAGAGAATTTCACGGGCTTCAAAATTGTGTATTAATAAGTCTTTGAAAAACATGCCCACATGGACGAATAGTTGAAATACGTGCCCGATATAATGACTTTCAACTATCTAAGTGCTTTAAACACTCCTTTGGTAAGTTTTCTGCCATAATGAAAAATTATGTATTTTGCGAAAACATACCATTGGATAGCCCTTGAAAATCTCTACAAAGTGAGCTGATCAGAACATCCAAAAAGGTGGGTCCAGT